CCTACGACTTTATTATTATCAAATTCCTCTAATTATATCACAACTTTGCAATACCATAATCCATACAAAAGAACCGGCGTATACTTTACTACAAGTTATATATTAGTTCAAAGTTAAAAGACCTTGGTTGTAAGAAGAGATTTTAATATTGAAATATTTTTTCATAAACTAATATAGACTGGATTACACAATTACCATTGTTATGTGCATAAAACCATAAAACTTAACCAACATTGGGAAGAAGTATTAAAACTTAAACAACTATTTGAATTGAACTCACCCACTACTCAAGATATAAAATCTGATAGATCTATCTAGGTACCAATCAGATTTCTCTAAATAATTTGTTTCAAACATAAATATGTTAGAGTAACCAGAACCGGTTGAATCTAGATACGTTCGTCTTCTTCAAAATGTATTCTAACCAGCTTGCAATTATTATAAGTAAAACTAGCTGACCCGGCGAACTTCGTATCGCCTAAGTTATAGGTTTCCCCTAAGACAGACCGATGGAAAGAAAGTACCGTTACGTTTAATTTTCAAGATGATCTCGTTCGCATCGCTCAATCACGTCCTGGTTGAAGTTCGTTCGCTACGCTCACTCACCTTTGGGTTGGGGCTCGTTCGCTACGCTCACTCACCTTTAGGTTGGAGCTCGTTCGCTGCGCTCACTTGCCTTCAGGTTAGCTCGTTCGCTACTTCGCATCGCTCAATCACGTCCTGGTTGAAGTTCGTTCGCTACGCTCACTCACCTTTGGGTTGGAGCTCGTTCGCTACGCTCACTCACCTTTCGGTTGGAGCTCGTTCGCTGCGCTCACTTGCCTTCAGGTTAGCTCGTTCGCTACTTCGCATCGCTCAATCACGTCCTGGTTGAAGTTCGTTCGCTACGCTCACTCACCTTTGGGTTGGAGCTCGTTCGCTACGCTCACTCACCTTTAGGTTGGAGCTCGTTCGCTGCGCTCACTTGCCTTCAGGTTAGCTCGTTCGCTACGCTAACTCGCCTCCAGGTTGAAGTTCGTTCGCTACGCTCACTCACCTTTTGGTTGCAAATTAGCTGTTGTCATAATGTAAAAGAAATAATAGTGCTGCACCCTGTTTGTAATCCTTGTAACTTTAATGCTATTGAACATCATAGAACAGAACCAACTTGTTTAATTTGAAACAGCTGTTAAGATTCATTAATTCCATTTCTCATAAGGTTAACATGGGAAACTCCAGAGCCACTGGGGCGGAGCCCTTTTAAGAATTTCGAAACGGGAAATAGTTTACGTCCGATTCGCATACCTACAGAATTTACACACCAAATTTCATATCGATCGGTGAAGTCGTTCCGGAGGAGTTTGCAGACAAACACTGTGACACGAGAATTTTATATATTAGATTACAATTACTTATAAGTTATAAAATATACGATACTAGCTGTTGTACCCGTGCTTTGCAACGGGCAGAGGACACAAAATAGAAACATTTTAATCTTTACATCTGTTGCATATAATAGATACACATCCGCCAACGCTTTTGGAAACAAAATTAAACTTTTATAGCCTTAAAAGAAACGTTTAAGTTATGACTTTTAAATCTGGTAAGTAGTGGATACCACCATTTTGGTTTTGATTAATTTTTAATCTTGTGTAGGCTGATATGAGAAAAACTGAACAAATCTTCGAATGAAACTTTGACATACATGATTTACCTTTATCTCCCTTAATTACATATCTTTTAATTTATTAATGACATTTTAAATTTCAATTTTGAAGTTGCAAAAATACTAATTATAAAATTTAAATGAACATTTTTTTTTAAATTTCACTCTTCTTTATATTTAATCACAAATCCTTCCATCTTCAGTTTCTTCACTTACAATAATTCATTAGCAAAACTAAGTAAGCTGTTATAAACTTTAGAAATATTGCTGTGCCTTATCAATACAGTCTTTTGAAATATTAAAGAAACTATATCTATAAAGGTAGGTACTATAAAAAATTTTAAACAAATAATTTAGCATTAAAGACAGCAGACAAAACTAATATGATTATCAAAGCATCAAGGACTAAAAAATGTAATAGCAAATACAGTATATGTTTCATTGTATCTCTGATACTACTCTACAAAAATATCAACAAACAACTTAATATACAAACCAGTTCTTTTAATCATTTCCATCGTCCATTGCCAGTTACATTTTCACACTTACCATTAAGTAAACATAGTAACAGGTATTTAATTGATTTCATAAATGAAAGAACACTGTGAACTGCTTAGTTTTATAATATTTTCCTTGGTTTAATTTAATCAGTGGTGTGGCAAAACACAAATAATAAATGTATCAAATAAAGTAAATGTGAACTGAAAGCTATGTTAATATATAATAAGAGTATTTTGTATTACCATTTGATAATTAAATATAGTTACACATATACAACCGATTTTCGAAAACAAAAATCAACGACGTACAATTTAGTTATTGATGATATTCTTTAGTTTAATTTAAGCATAGGTTAAGCAAATACACAATAACTTAATTTACCTAAATCTATATAAATAAAATTAGAGTTTTGTCTGTACATTGCTTAGAATAATGAACTTTTTGGTTATTTTTACATTTCATAGGTCAGAGAAACCGAATCAAACCTTATCTCAATTTCTGTCTGTCTGTCTGTCTGTCTGTCTGTCTGTCTATCTGTCATTCTCTTGGTAACGCTAAAATACGCACTTTATTACAACTACTCCTCAATAACTATAGCACTGTCCCGCCTGAAACTTATTTTCCAAATACTATACATATATGAGATGGTTTTAGACGTATTTCATCGAATATGAGACAGTTAGATATTTAACAGTAAACCCTTGAAAATCAAGTTTTTGTCGATTTTTGACGTGGAATTTCTGGAAGCCCATGTTAACCTTATGAGAAATGAAATTATTGAATCTTAACAGCTGTTTCAATTAAACAAGTTGGTTCTGTTCTGTGATGTTCAATAGCATTAAAGTTACAAGGATTACCAACAGGGTGCAGCACTAGCACTATTATTTCTTTTACATTTATGACAACAGCTAATTTGCAACCTGGAGGCGAGTGAGCGTAGCGAACGAGCTAACCTGAAGGCAAGTGAGCGTAGCGAACGAGCTAACCTGAAGGAAAGTGAGCGCAGCGAACGAGCTCCAACATACAGGTGAGTGAGCGTAGCGAACGAACTTCAACCAGGACGTGATTGAGCCATGCAAACGAGATCAGATAGTAAAAATAAAAGTAAGCCTACCGTTATAGGATCGACCGGCAGACACAGAGGTAATTTAACCTTTTATTGATTGTCATACCGATCCGGAACAACAAAAAACAACATAAAATGAAGCTATGTATAATAGTTTGGCCAGCATATCTTAAAATATGCAAACCAACTGCTGTTCTTTATATAAGAAGGTTTCAACTGAATATTATAAGATCCCCGTGCGTAGAACGGGTACACAGCTAGTAAACATATAAAAAAAAACAAAGTGATGTGCAAGTTACGAAGTTAATCTAACACATGTTAAGCAGTTAGAATTTATTTAAAGTAGCCTCCAAATTCATACAAAACATCTATACATTGTAATTTTCATACTGTTTCCATGAAAACATATCAATAACATTATTTTCATAACTTAGACGCTTTCAAAAATCCAAAGCAGAGCCGGAGTTGATACAGCAACGGTTATAGAATATTTTTATTATATAATCATTTACATAGTTTTAGAATAAATAATCCATGATAAAAGGTTAGATTAAAATATACCTACCTCATAGTTATGGAAAATATTATAGCCTATTTAATTTCTTTGTATCAGCTGTCTGAAATTGTGAAATATGCAGTTTAGCAGTTCTTCTTGTTTACATTTAAATGTCAAAGGAAATGTAAACAAACATTGTTAGTGTTCTCATCACAGCCATGGAGTAAATCAATATTTACTTTTAAAATGTTCACCTAAGAACTTTTAAAGCCAAAGGGGCAACGCCTACAGTCAGTATCGAAATGTGAATAGTCCTATAATGGTCCTTGGAATGGTAGCTATATTTTTGTAAAATTTAAGCCCAGTTGGTTCAGTAGTTTTTGCACCTATTAGTAACACACATACAGACAGACACCATTAGATTTTTATATAATAGTATAGAAGTATAGATTTCAATAATAAAACCTAACCTGTAATAAAACTGGTTCTTTCAAACAATAAATACCTATTGTTACAATAATTTAAAACTGCTTAAATTTGCGGGATAACAGTTGATAATTTTTCACCTTTAAAAAAAAAAAAAACTATGATTGTTCAATTCATTATGCTAGCAGTTATTTTAATTTTGAAAACTTTTTTATGAAGATGTTGATTAACTTAAAACATACTGTATTCTGTTTCTTCAGATTCCATGAATTTTGTCCATGCTATTCACTACTCCATCGAGACGTCCCCTTTATTTGTACTGTACTGGCCATACCATATCATGCTGTAAACGTGGGTGATGGTGGTTTATTGTATATGTGAAATTGCTTAAGTCGTGTACATAAAAAAATAACAACTCCATGTTTCGAAATAATCCCCACGTTTTCCTAAAGTATTTTACAAATATCAATCTTATTTCACCAAAAAATACATTTATGAAGCGGAGAAACTCGATAACACTTGCAAATCTCATATCACAACAAATCAGCATCCACAGTGTATCAAGTTAGTGATAAGAGGCAAAGACAATATATCACAAGCGATGAATAACGATTGTTGTGATGTGAGCAACAGGCGGTGGTGGGGGAAGTAGGCGTGTAGTAGGCGTGAGCGCGGGGGAGGGGAGGCAGTCTGCGCATGCGCCACCAAGCTCCTCCCCTCCACCTCCCACCGTAGCAGACGACAGTCTGCGCCCTGCCTCGTACAGCTGATCACCTACTGTCTGTCACGGCGACACGCGAGCGGACCACGTGATCTCATATTTCCGCATTCCACTTTATTTATACTATTTATTTTTAACAGTCACCTCTCAAATATTTATATTTACCAAAGAATAAACGTTTTTCAACATTTTCGAGTAATCATGAAGAAGTGCGATAGGCCGGTAGTTAAAACACTTGTAATACCCGTTTTCTGAACTGTGTATAATGGTTGTGTAGTGCAGTGAAGTGCATGATAGGGATGGATCACTCGGCTGGGTTCACCGGGTCACCTTGGGCGGCTGTGCTGGGTCATCACCCGAGCGAGGCACACGGGTACCCGCCCGCCCATGCGCACCCGTCCGCACCCATGCCCATGGACCTTCACGTGCCCCAGGGCTTCCCTTACTACAGGTATTGCTCGACTCTATTACATAAACACTCCTTTTTATGGGATCCAAGATTTGCAATCCAATGCAATGTATTCTGTTACAGAGACCGTATTGAAAAAATAAACTGTACAAACATGTTTTCAGTATCTAAAAATAAATAATAAAGTAAACAACGGTCCGGCTCTTGGGAACTAATACCATCCCTGGAACCCTCTACAGCTCATGTTGAGGACTAATAATAAACCTAATTAATGAGTAAGCCAATTTACAGGACTTTACTCAATCTCAGTACTGTATAATCTTGAATAGAATATCGTGTCACTGCAGTCCACAACTGAATAGTTCTGTTCAGGTTCTAGATTTGACATTCCCCTAGCTGGAGCCGGCTCAATTAACAAATACGTCAAAATTCTCTAGCTTTTAGTTTAATTTTCTTGAAATAACTTTTCCCTAGACCGTCATTTAGAGCACTGCCATATTGAAATACGTTGACAGTTGTTTTAATGAACCTTCTCCACAATATTAATGACTAATACATACAGTCTAAATTACAACAAGAATAATTTAATTATCTCTTTTAAATTTAATTTAATCCATATTGTAATTATCCTTATTAAGACTTAATATTACTTATTATTTATTCCAACAGAGCATTTATTGTTTTTAATTAAACCTTTTCCAGGCTTGAACTAAACTAAAGCCGTTACGAAATGGGATTGCAGTACTGTATGTCTAAGAATACTGGGGAACATACACTGCACTTGAAATTTAAAAAGTAGTGATGCTTTCGTATAATAATTTTTCTACTAAATAGTTACACATGTAACATTGACACTCGGGTGTTTACAAAATTTTTACAAACAAATTCTATTATTAAATGAACTCATTTACTCAAACAAGTAGCTCAAAGCTTCTTTTTACTTATTATCTCAATCACTTAATTTATAAAGTTAACTTTGCAATGGGATTCAACATTTTTACTGTACAAAATTCACAAAAATACTTTGGGATTATACATCAGCCAATTTAATTTAATGCAACTGTCTAATAGGAGTTCCCTAATTTGGCTTTAATTTATTAAGTGTTAACCTCCTTAGATGATTTTTTCGTTGTTATAATTTTAAAAGAATGTTTGAACTTTTGCAACCCCCGGATCCACCCTTAGTCCCTGGAGTACGGTTGAGGCTGACTTAGTTATGCACCATCGCCAGGGGCTGCTTCTTAAATCATGCTGAGGATAAATCACAAATATTGTTGTAAACGTACTATCAAAACAGTTGATTCTTTTTTAGTCCATAGTATTTTCTGAATTCTTATTTTCTCGTTGTGTGGTACTGTATAAGTTTTGCCTCTAATTTGGAGACTACATTTTTAGCACAAAAATGTTAGAAGAGAAAAATTAAAAATATATTTCTCGGAATGTATATTTTCGACACAATTTTTACCTTTGTTTCTTATATCTTTGAATGTGTTGTATTTTAACTACTGTGTTTAAATATACAAGTCGACACTAGATCTGTAGGGTCCAGAAACATATAGGGCCTAGAGTGTTTTGCTATTGATATTATTTTTTTAATAGTTGGATTACAGGGATAAGTTATAGGGACATAAAAAGCTAGCAATGGCTTGCAAAAAGTACACTTTAGTTTGATATGGTGAAAATGTGGTTAAAAGAGGGAAAAATTGAATTTTACTGCAGCTTGCTTTAAGGTTGTTCTGTTCCTATTTGAAAGCTCTTTTTATCCTGCAAACATTTTAACATGAGACATAATGTACTAACAAAAATGCTTGAACGATTAACATGGATGTCTTCGTAAGCATGAGTCTTACTTTTATCCAACTAGTTTTCATTATTTTACAGATTTAAAATTGTACGTTTAAGTTCCGCCTCGAAAATGGACTATTTTTATTTCTCTTGATTATTTTTTATTATTAGATGAGTTAACATTTTTTTATTTTTATTAATTTTTAATTTTAATAAAAAAGTTTGTATACATTTTTGTTTTATCGTAGTAAAATTTTATACAACCTTGCTCATTTTAACTAGTCGAGAACATTCGTATTAAATAACACATTTTATTTCTGACAGTTGTTAAAAATTCCAACTAAGGTAGTTTCAAGCTTTTGAATTCATATAAGACAAAAGGTTTATTATTTATGTATTTTTCTTCCTTTGCTAAATTCAATTAAATCAAATACACATATTGCAAAACATTGTTCACACACTACTTATCAAATAAACAGTAAATAAAAAGTACAACGTTATAACTAAAACACAGTTTTACAGCCCTGTATTTTTCACACTTCAAATAAGGCGAATCTCTATTTTTTATAGTATCCGGAGTTTCAGTAAATATAGCCTAACATTATACATATATACAGTACAAGCTAATGAAGTGTTACGAATTTACCACGTAGGAATGAGTCTTATATCAATTCAACCCAAATTACCATCTATCTTCTATTGTAATATTTTAAATTTACTTACATCGTAACGTTCTACTATCAATTGGATACTACGAGAAGACTTAATCGTCCTATTGGCTAATCTGAAGTGTTTGGTGTCTAGCAATGCTTGTGCGTTATGTCGACTAAACATGGCTCTAATTTTAAGAAGAAAAAATTTAAAAAAATGGATTTTTCTCTTTTGGTAACATAACAGCAGGCAACTATTCTATTACATACCGTTATATTTGGTTGTAATAATCTTAATGCTGTAAAATTAACCAACGTATCGTATGATTACATCGTCTTAGCCATATCCATTCGGTAATATAAAATCAAGTAAGGAGTATACTCAATCTATGGCCTTGTATCCAATTATTTATTGTTTATCCATATGCACTGTATTATCACTAACAAAACCACAAAACAGAAGGTTTTGAATGAAATCAATATTTTATGTGAGTTCTGGTACTTATAGGAATCAATCGTAATGGACAATGTTAAGACGTAGTTAAGCTTTATACCAATTTTTTAAACGTAGACAACTTCTTTAAGGGGGGACTAAAGTCCAAAGAATTTCCTGACCACATTTTAGCGTAATCAGTTGGAATAAGTCGATAAAAGGTAGTTTACACCAGTTGAATAAGAAATCTATATATTTAATACGCGACATTAAACTTTGTGAACAATAAGGCTTTTTTGTGTTAATATTTAGCCCCACATATTATATACCAAAATCTTCGTCTGGGTGTGTAGATGTGCAAACTGGCTTTAGATTTTCAAAATATATCTTTTTAAGGGCGTGGGCTGCCCTCAAAGTTCCTTCCATAAGGATAACATTGTGATTGATTTGAATGTTATTATATTCTGGAACATATGTCAAAATTAGTAAAAAAAAAACTAAATCCCAGCTGTTTTGTTTGGTTTTGAAATGTAAACAGTTTGCATGTTTTGAAAAATAATTAGAAACCCGCACGATTACTAGAAAAATACCCGGCAACGAAATGTTACCGATAGTACACAACGGGAGAAAAGTTTTACATTATATTTTTGTCTAAACATGCCAAGGACCCGATGACAAAGAAGTATTGCTGGTCGGACACGGCGAGTCAGCATACGGCAAGCAATGCAAAACGTAAGGAGCCCAGACAAGGAGCTGGAACATAGTGGCGACGTGTATTTACAAAATTACACTGACAAATACTACGTAGAATTCAGCAGCATTCACTCGGCGATGAGATGGCATTAAAATATCAGAAATGTGGTGCACTACATTTGAAAGAAGAAAAAAGAGGACGAGGCGAAGGATTTTCATCCTGCTGCCATAAAGGATAAGTGAATGTACAGCCATATCGAGAAATCTATTATATCCAAAGCTTACTTAATGTACCTAGCAAATCATTTGAGCAGAAACTACAAAGATAACATTAGATCGTAATCTAAATGCGCTCGCAATGGTCAGCACTCGAGCTAAAATTGAAGAACATAACGGTGGAGGGCCTTTCATGTATAAGGTGCACGACACAATTTAAAACTCAATTGGCACCTTACAATCGTCAGAAGGGGAGCATATATGCCCAAATGTATATATCTCCGTACGTCGAAACAGCTGTTCAAGGAAGAATGCTAAACAATTAAAGCTAATGGCTCTTGCAGCACTGAACTAATACACATTTTTACTCATCATTTGGTTGATATTAATCCATACGCGCAAGTTTTCAGCATCATGAGCTCCGTCCTGCAAAATAGAACAGAAAAAATAGCCTAGATTGAAAATAGTCAACGATAGCCCAAGACCAACGTCGATACAACAACGCAACTTGTAACGACGTTGCTATAATATCCTAATTTATTATTCGTGCGAATTCGCACGGGTTCACCTAGTAAGTTTAAAACATGTAAATGATAACATTGACTTTAAATAGTATGAAAAACTCATACCTTTTTAAATCAAAACACCCTGTTATATGTGCGTGCTTCTGCTTCATGTAAGTAATGTCTGCTAAATTGCACTAAGATTAGTAAATGTTTTATGTCGATTAAATTGTTCACTTTTATTGTTATACGGATTTTAAAATTTATGCATTTTAATTAAGCTATAGTAATTAACATAGGAAAAGTAATAAATCTATATAATTAATACGCTACATGAAACTTTGTCGGTTGAACTCCTCCGCCATTTCTTAACCGATTTTATCCATTGACGTCTCATTGGAAAGAGCGTGTCGCGTAGATTTGCAAACTGGCCTTACATTTTTGAAAAAAATCCCTTGGGATCTGCCCCAGTGGCTTTGAAAGTTCCCATGTTATCCTTATAAGAACATAATTGTTTACATTTTGATCAGCTGTATAATTTAATTGCTGTTATTTATTTTTGAATTCAATGAAATGCGTTGAGTACATTTATTTACTATTTGAGTTTGTGTAAACATAACCCCCAAGACGGATCGTGTTAGTATGGTTGTATCTTAATTTTGTGTATTTATCGTTGTTTTGTGTCGCTATGACGGAACGTGTTAGCATGATTGTAATTTAAATTTGTGCATTCATCGTTGTTTTGTGTAGCTATAATTTGTT